TTGCCTACCCCTGGCCTAGACTTAGATACTAAGAAGAAAGGTGCTAGTTGGACTTCAGTAGGAGACCATCAGAAGATCACAGAGTGATCTCCATTGGGTTGGAAAGGGCCTTGGAGGTCTTCTAGTCCAACCCTGTACCATTCCAGACCAATGGTGGTCTAATCATTGAAACCCTCCAATGATGGAGCAGCCACAACTGATTGCAGTAATTGTTCTCCTTAGATCTAGGTTGGATCTCTTTTTAATGAGCTTCCACTCGTTGCTTCTTGTCCTGCCTTCTGGTGTTGGACTACGCTGTAGCTGAAAGAGATGACCAGGCTGAGCCCAAGAGTTGGGTTGAGTTCAGTCTTGAGTCCCTTCGTGCCCTCGGGAGATCCAAAGCCAGCCCTCCTTGAATTCCACTAACTCTTATGCCTTGACCATTAGTAGTTCAGATTTTTGTAGAGAGCTTTAGCCATATATTCATCTGTTCCTCTGAACTGCCTGGACTCCTGATTTCCTGAACTTGATAGTAACCTTAGGCTTTATCCAAAATCACTGTGTTTGTGGGAATGACTTTGCAGCTTGGAAAAATCACAAACTTGGTCCCCCACCCTGCAAATTGTTTAAATTGTCTTCTCTCTTGTCACAGGTATATGTTCATATTCCCGGTGCCAAAAAGCTGATGGTTGAACTGCCTTTCGTCATTGGCACAATTCCATGGACTGCTTTTTCCAGCAGGAACTCCAGCCTTGTCAGCCAGTTGGCTATGGATATGAGGTGGTTGGCTCAGACCCTGCCAGATCATCCAGAAGGTGCACCCCCTGGACTATATTTTTCTCATTGTTTGGGACCGAATTTTTTTAGTTCCCAGGGAAAAACAAATCTTGGAAAAGTTTCAGAAGGAAAGCTAGTATAGTGAAGAAAGCATTTGACCTGGATTGGAGCGAGTGGAAGTGATAAACAATCGATTTATCTATAAAAGCATTTTTGGAAGCCTAGATGAGTTGCTGTTTTTCCACTGAAATCTTAATGTTGAAAAATAATGCCGAGTTTTCTTGGCATGCCTTTAAGACCGGATGGGATATTTTATGATAGGTTGGATCAAATCAATTAGTTTACTTAAAATATGTACATTTGAAATCACTTTTTTTAAAATGTTCAATCATTAGCAGTGTAAGAGAGTATTTGCATTTTAGGGTTGAACCGTGGAATCCTTGGTGTTCTCTGAGCTTGGTGATTTTCTGGCAGATGTTTCATGACCCAACTAGGTAACATAATTGGTGCTAGAAGGTTTACACTAAAATGATCAGGGCTGTATTTTGGATGGTCAGTCGCCATAGTTACAGCTTAGGAACGGATTGAAGTGCCGAAGAAAATCACTGTAGCATGAGTTTACTTTGATTGAGATAAAGAGTTACATGTCCACTGCACGTGTGTCTGTTTCCAGCACCACCCAATTATGCTGATATAGTATCAGAGGAGGAATACGCAAGACACGTCACTGTTTATCCGACGTCAGCCGATTGCGACGAACAGCTGCGTGGTCCTGTGCTCGCCTACCTACAGGAATTCCGATTTCAGCCACCTCCTGTTTATTCAGAGGTACTCCCTCGTCTGCAATCTTAAAAGCTTCTCAACAGCTTTATGTGAATTCATGAATCCCAAGCGGTAAATACTTTTATTTTTCTGTGCAGATTGACCCCTACCCTGCTGGAGTGCAAGACAATCAGCCCGTTTCACTCGTGGATTAAGGGTGACTCCAAAAAGCCTCATCTTGACGAGAGAAAACACCTTCCTTTGGGTTTTTTTCCTCCCGCCTCTGCTTGAAGCAAAGCTTTCTTCTTCTTCTTCTTCTTCTTCTACTTCTTCTTCTTCTTCTTCTTCTTCTTCTTCTTCTTCTTCTTCTTCTTCTTCTTCTTCTTCTTCTTCTTCTTCTTCTTCTTCTTCTTCTTCTTCTTCTTCTTCTTCTTCTTCTTCTTCTTCTTCTTCTTCTTCCTCTTCCTCTCCTCCTCCTCCTTCTCCTTCTCCTTCTTTAAAGTAGTATTCCTGCTTAAAGTCAGAGCAGGTACCAGAAAACCAAAAGGTTTTATAAGAAATGAATTGTAGGTACTGCAATATGTGGATTCGAGATTTAGGATGAAATTATTATGGTGCAATTCTTCTTTGTTTCTCAGGTCTGCGTGCTTTGCTCCGAGGGTAAAGTCTTATCTTCTTTCTTAATTCCTGGGAAATTCTGTACTGTAACCGTTTAGCCTTTGCACAGCGACTCACCTCCAGAAATGTTGCCCACTTTTCCATCCATCAAGTGGTAGTCCTCGACTTACGACCACAATTGAGCCCAGGATTTATGTTGCCAAGCGAGACGGTGGTTCCGTGAGTTTTGCCCCATTTTACAACCTTTCTCACCACTGTCGGGCGAATCACTGCAGGTGTTTAATGAGTTACACAGTTGTGAAGGGAATCTGTCTTCCCCATTGACTTTGCTTGTCAGAAGTCGCAAACGGTGATCACGTGATCCCGGGACGCTGCAACCGTCCTAAATATGAGTCGGTTCCCAAGCGTGAATTTTGATCACGTGACTATGGGGATGCTGAAAAATGGTATATGTCACTTTTTGCAGTGGCATAACTTCAAATGGTCACTAAATGAATGATTGTAAGTCAACACTTAACCTGTACTAAAATCAAGAGTTCTGCGGGGTGAAAACTGCCCTATTTTCTTTATTGCTGGGCCACGCTGGCCATCTGCACTGTGGCACCCCTACCTTGTCTTTTGGAAGTATTGGGTTTGGACTGAGAGAATCTGTACCCCAAAGCTCCATTGTTGCACATACGCCCCACATTTTTGGATGTGCCTCTATGCCACGAAATACAAGCCTTGGGTGATGGCAAAGCGT